GGTGAGGTGGTGATGTTGTGGATTGCTGGTGATGGTGGTCACAGGGATGACGACGGCGGCGACGACGGGATGATGTTGTGTGCTGTTAAGATGTTAGATCATGATTGGAGGTGGAGTTAAGGCGTTGGTTAATTTGTGACCAACCATTTTGTTATTTGTGACCTAAAAATTATATAATCTGTGATTGTAAAAGATTATGTGACCAACAAATTTGGGAATCTGTGACTGTGTGACTTATAAATTTTAAAATCTGTGACCGACGAATTAATTGTAACCTACACATTTTTCTATATGTGACCATTAAAAAATCTATGACAAACAAATTTGGAAATCTGTGACCTGCAAATAAACTGTGAACAATTTGTGACCATTAAATTCTATAACTATGACGTAAATATATTTAATTAATTAATTAATTAATATTTAATTAATTAACTAATACCCGATTTATGAATTTTGAAACTTAAAATCTGAATATTGATTTGTCTCATTCCAAACACCCGACTTTTGAACTCTTTCCATTTATTTGATTACCAACATGTTAATGAAGTAAAGCAAATTCACTGTTGAAAAATGCACTTTGATTCCTTTAATGCAATTTAAACCCTGAGAGATCTTCATTTGAAACTTATTTCAATAAATTTGTGCTAGACCTCATAGCTGCCAATCTATTGTCGGCAAGGTGTCCTAGTTACAAATACGATCAGTGAATGTGCCGGTATGACCCAAGGACGGACATTTACATATATTAGTTCTTTTATTCTATGGCAGATCTTGCATTTATTTGAGGGGCCACAACACTGGTTAGAGGTGCATAAGAGAGAAGAGCTTCCCAGTGCACTTGGTAAAGGTAAAATGGCATTGAACGCAGTTGATGATTCAGATCTCCATGATATTTGGGTTATAAGTGTTAGAAAAAATATTCGTGAACGAATACCGGTTTAACAAATACCGGATTTACAATACATACCGGATATGCAACATACCGTATATGCAACTTACCGTACATGCAACTAACATACCGTACATGCAATTTACCGTGTAGACAATAACTTATCGAATAATAGCTAAGATATATCTGATTAAATAATTTGCTAATCACAACAAACAAAATAAGTTATATAAATCACAATAAAATAGAACAAATAATTTAAATAGTAGAGAATAAAAATTTAATTGAACTTTAAAAATCGAGGTCTGTGTGAAATCACCACCAAGACGTTAACAGACAGTAAATTATGTATGTAGATAGAGATTTTTCATGTGTTTGTAATGAAGAGTTAAATCTGTTCTTTAACTCAATGACAATAACCATTGGAGTTTCAATAATTTGGTAAAGTCGGTCCAACATTCGTATACACAGGTCGTGTCCGCACACAAGTTCAAGGTCCGAAACCTATTTTGATCCGTGATATGTTACACATGATTACACACTTTCAAAGTGTAACCATATATAAAGTGGTTCTTGCTTTCATAAACTTCCTATGTGGGATAAACTCAAACGTAAACCATATTTCAAAGGTCCACTTTGAACTCCAATTTCTCATTCATCCGAACTTCATTTTTGACAAGTACATACATGATTTTGATGTTCTTGCGGAGGAAACACAAATCAATGTTGATCTTCCAAAATAAGCAAACGGATCCCACTCAAAATTTATGCCAAAGTCTGCCAT